TCTCGGGGCTCATCTACGAGGAGACGCGCGGCGTCCTCAAGGTGTTCCTGGAGAACGTGATCCGCGACGCCGTCACCTACACGGAGCACGCCAAGCGCAAGACGGTCACGGCCATGGACGTGGTCTACGCGCTCAAGCGCCAGGGCCGCACCCTCTACGGCTTCGGCGGCTGAGCGGTATTTGCTGTGCCTTCCTTTACGCCGAAACCCAAAGGCCCTTTTCAGGGCCAACACCTTCTCACGTGAGAAGCTGTAATGCTGATTTCATTCCCTAAAGCTAGCGTGCTTTGCAGACTTCCTAGGCTACTTAACGAGGAATGGCTTTCAAAATGAGTGCTTTCTATGAGGTAACTTGCTGAAAGACTTCTTAAAGCTTTGTCTAAGGCGTGCATGAGCTTTGGAGGTATGGTTGATCAGTAAACGCTTTAGAAAACAACTTTAATTCGTATGTACTAAAAGCGAAGTTGGAATAAGAATCTATACAATTATCAGTCATTAGCTCCCCATTTCTACCTAACCTCTTGCCAAGTTTCCAAGCAACTGTTTCTGTCTAGATTTACCTATCCTGGATTCAACATACATAAAAATATCTAAAATCAGGCTTAATAACAGTAATGCAAAATCTTTAAAAAGCGGAAAATAAGGTGATGCAGACTCCCTAGTGACCACATAAAACAGTAGAACTGCCACTGTGTTTGAGACCATGGATTTAGGAGGGTAAAAAGCCTTGTCTTATAACAGGAGGTGGTGGTTTTGAACTAATAAACTTGTGGTTAGCAGGTCATTATGTCACTTGGATTCATTACCTCTCTATCAATCTCATCTCCCCCACCCCACCCCCAGCATAGCACAGAATTTAACTGCCAAAAAGAAAGCTAGAAATTATGGAGAGCAAAAAGGCTGACCTGACAGGAAATGAGAGTCAAGATTGAAAATTTTGCATTTGTTTAACATGTCAATAACTAAGTCGACCGCAGGCTAATTACATGAGAATCTCTGGGAGAGGATTACTTCAAATAAGCCTCATCAGCATTTCTCATTGACACCTGGCTTCATGGGCCTTTTCAAATCTGGGGCCAGAAGTCACTTGAAGGCCTTAGATGTGCCCAGCTTTTTCAATCACCTCATACGCCTGTGCAAACTGGACAATGAGTGAGGAAAACAAGAAAAAAAATAATGCATTTGAGTGATGGTGCTGGCAAAGAATATCGGCAGTACCATGGACCGCCAAAAGAACAAACATCTGCATGAAACTTCTCATGTCCCCTGGACATGTTACCAGGAGAGACCAGTCCCTGGAAAGGAGATTTTGCTTGATTAAATAGAGGCTCAGCACAAAAGGAGGAAACCCTTAATGAGATGGCTTGGCACTGTGGCTACCACAATGGACTGAGACATGAACATTGTCTGGGCAAGGCGCAGGACTGGGCAGTGCTTCTCTCTGCTCTCCGGAGGGTGGATATGAGTTGCAACCAACTTGGTGCATCTAACAACAACAAATATCTTCTTATGAATATCAGTTTTGAAAAAAATGGAGTGGCAATATGTAGGACTCAAAATAAGGGCCATCATGAGAGAAGAAGATTATATACTGAAGATCCAAGCGAAATAAACAGTTCTGCACCCAATATCAACTTTAAATAAAAGCACATTCAAAGGTAGCTGAACCCTCCTATTAGTCTTTATTTTAAAGAGAAAATTCATACTCCGTTAGGAATTCAACTTATCGAGGACTCCTTGGCACTGTAGTGGTTTTCCATTGAGCTGGCAAACACCACCAGGTCCAGGGTTTGAAAGTACAGTTGTTCTGAAGGAGAAAGATGAGGCTTTCTACTCCCATAAAGAGTTCCAGGCCCAGTTCTGCCCTGCCCTACGAGGTCCTTAGGAGGCAGAATGGACGCGATGGCAGAGAGGAGCCCTGGTGGTGGAGTGGGTTGTGCATTGAGCTGCAAGTGGAATTGGAATCAATTCCATGCCAGTGGGCTTCGTGGTGGTGTTTATTTTTCTCCGTTAGTTCTCCCAAGAGAGGCTTCCGTTAATAACTCCTGGGTTCACCTTATCTACAGTTGATGGCTTAGATGTTGTTATAATAGGTCTTGCTACAAGCAAGTGTACAAGGATTTACAGAAATTCAGCCCCTTCAAAGGAAGGGGAAGATAAAAGAAGCAGTCACAAAAGTGCGGTTGGCAGTATGTCAAGAAACCACAGTTGCAGACCAACTCGTTTACAGGAGTGGTTCAGGGCCATCTACCAAAGCACTCATGATGTGCCTTATAACTGAGCTACTGTTACAACCCAGTTCCATCAGGGATGCACCTAGTCACTTCCCTGAGGGAGAAACTGCCCCTCCCTGGACTGGCTATGGGAATGACGGTCATCACATTCAAACATGCTCTGCCAGAGGGCGAAACTATTCATGATGCTGTTTAATGGTCCATAAGAAATTCAGTGGGAAAAAAAAAATTTAAAAAAAAAAAAGAAAGAAATTCAGTGGAGACTTAATCTATATGGAGATTTACAAGTGGATTTTTTAGCTAATGGATTTTCTAGTGTCAATACTCTATGCCATTGGATTTATGTCCACTCACAGCGACATGGGCGTATAAGACAGGCTAGACCTCTCTTGTGTTTCCCCTTAACTGTTTCAGGGAAGAGAAAGCTCTGTTTTTTTCCCACGAGCTTCTGGTGATTGTAGCCGAAGACACAAGCAATGTAACTGTAGCGCTCAGCAAGGGTTTGAGCACTTTGATACAATGTCTTCAAACGATAGTAGGAAAAATTCCATGATCTTTTAATTCCATTTTTCCCATGAATGTTTTGAAGTCCCCTCATGTTATTCACTGATAATATGATGCATCTATCTAAGCGGGGACGTAATTTCAGTTCTTGCTTAAGGCTCTTTTGCTATGTGAAATTCTGGTATGAATGAAAACATTTAATATCCTATAACCTCTACAGCAGCCCCTTGTTGTTCAATGGTTTGTGTTAGAAATTAGCAGCTTAAGCTTTGGAGTTAGAGGAAAATCTGTTTTTAAATTAAGCCTCGACTGATTTCGGCTAACTTACTTTTTTACTTTCTATGTGTTGGCTACTCATTTGTAAAGTGATATTGGCATAATAAGAAAGAGTTTAACGCCCCCCCCCCCAAAAAAAGAAACAATAGTTTAATCTCTTGTGTTACTATACAGCAGACGTATGCAAACTTTTGAGACCGAAGAGCTGATTTTGTCTCTCAAAACAGTTTAAAAAGTCTTTGAGAGTCACAAATATATTTCTTATATATAAAGAAAAAAAATCACCATTATCTGAATAATAGCCTTTAAAATTTTTCTATTTTACTTCACAGCATCATTTATAAACCAGAAGAGCCACATATGGCTGGAGAGCCGAGGTTTGCCCTCCCGCGCTATAGAGAATCCACCAAGAATCCCAGGTGGTGGAGTGATTAAGTGTTGGGCTTCTAACTACAAGGTCAGCAGTTTGCAATCACTAGCAGCCACGTGGGAGAAAGATGAGGCTTCTGACTTTGTACAGTTACAGTCTTGGAACTTCACAGGGGCATTTCTACTCTGTCTGCATGGACTTGATGGCAATAGGCTTGTTTTTGTTTGTTTGGGTCACTGTAAACATTAATAAAGGTAATTTAAACAAAATGCTTTGCACAGTGACTACTTCTTTCTTTTTTTTTTTTGTATATAAGAAATAGCTTTATATACAAGAGCAATTGAATATTGAGAAAACATCCCATCCCAGTGCAGATCAAGTCCATAAGTCCGATATTAGCCCATATGTCCAATACCAATCTATAAATTCCTCTTCAGACTTATGCAGCACATGCAATAATGCCGAATGCAGGAGGATCACAGGCTAGTGGATCTAGTGGTGGTGTAAGCTTCTTAGCACTGGTGTGGGTCTCCATGTGGCTCCTCCAACTCCTGGGCTCTAGCGTAGCTCCATGTGTCTTGTCATCAGGAATACGAAGCAGAGAGAGTGTGTCTGGCCTTCAGGGAGCTATTTATAACCTCCATGCCTCCAAATGAGGTCATCAAGCATTGACCTGATTGACAGACTAGACTCCACCTCTTCACAAGTTGACAGGAGATTATGTAACTGCCACATATTTCAAACTTTGTTAGAAATATAATTTTATTTTTATTTTTTAATTTTTATTTTTACTGACTACTTCTTTCTATATTCTTACTACAGCTAATACTTACATTTAGTCTGTGTTATCACTATTAACACTGAATCAACTTTTATTTTTAACTTGTGCTTATAGATTTAGAACAATTTAGCCTGTAAATAAAATGTATAAATATTTTTAATGTTTATTAGCCTGAAACAAAATAAGCCTCTTAGATTTCAATTGTGCACATATAAATATTTTTATATTTTGTAAAGTATTGTATATTTTGAAGCAATTTCTAATTATCAATGTAACAGCTATGTTGGAATCAAAGAGTGTTGTGATCAAATGGTTCAACATTAGGCTACTGGTTGAAAGGTTGGAGGTTCAAATCCAACCATAGGCATATTCAAAGACCAGCCTAGCAATCTTTCCAAAAGGTCAGGTGCTTTGCAAACTCCACGGAGCAGTCCTATTCTGACCCACAGGGTTTGATGCTTCCATGAATCACAATCAACTTGAAGGGACGTCAGAAGAACAACAGAGGTGGACATGTAGGAGCTAAATATATGTGGAGCGAGATCATGTTAATGGGCTCATTGCTGCTCCTTTACAACCCAAACCCTACCCTCAGACACTCCCACACCAGTACAGCTAACAGCTATGTGCATGAACTCATTGCAGTAGTAAGCAAAGATAAAGTTATAGACGCATCAAAAGCAACCATGGAGAGAAGGGAGTTAGAAAGGCATTTGGGGGGAGCTTCATAAATATGTATGTATTGCTGGATGTCCCTTAATCTGGACCCCTAATTCCCATCCCTTATTCGTTTCTATGCTTTTTAAAAAAATTTATTATTTTTTGTAGTTCCTATGCTTTTTCAGAGCACCGATTTCCCCATTCACTCAATAGGCTGTTTCATTATTCGACTGGATAATTAATACTCAACAAACCTCAGTAGTATCTACTTAAGTGTGACGTTGAAAGGTTGGAAAAGGAAGCAGGATGTGGGCCAAATTAACAAAGTCATCCAGATGGTTTACCATAT